AGTGACCAGAGACAGGAAGAGGTAAGGTATTTCTCCAAGTATTATATCTCATTATGTGAATTAACCTGGATAAATCTCACAAATATGATGTTGAAGGGGAAAAAAAGTAGAAAGATACATTGAGAATGATAGCATTTCTATAAAATTTTAAAACATGCAAAACAATACTATATATTGCCTGCTAATATATGTAGTAAAAATGCTTAAAAGACAATAAACACCAGAGTCAAATAGTGGTTACCTCTGGTGGGAGAAGGAGGGAAATGTGATCAAAGAGAGGTGCACAGCAGGTTGTACTGTTTGTTTCTTGAGCTGTTTGGTGGGCACACAGGTGTTCTTTATATTTTCTAGACTTTTTTCCATGCCTGAAATATTTCATTAAAAATAATACATGGTTCTTCATCTAGAGTGACACCTGGACCAAGACCCCTTGGACTAAAGTTAGGAGGCTCTGGCACGTGGAGAGAGATGGGTGACTTAGCCATAATCTTTGGGCTGAAGTAATGAGTTGGCCTAAAGCAGACCATAGTCACATGCCTAGAAAAGCTACATGTTTCTCCAGTTCCATACTTTTTTCTTCCCCTAAACTTATGAGTATGTTTAGAAAGCCTGCCAACTAATCCCCAGAGAAGAACCTGCCTGTCCTCAGAGTTACTGAGAAGTTTCATGGCTCTTTGCCAAATACTGCTCAGTCAACAGCTGAGGCAGAAGCCCATGACACAAAAGAGAGACCCTTAGTGCTGTGTAGGCTTGGGCACATTGCTTAACCTCTATGAGCCTCAGTTTTCTCTGTAAAAATTAGAATAAATACCACCAGGCTTGCAGGTTTGCTAACAGGAAATTAAGTTATATAATGAATATAAAGTGCTGGGTGTAATGACTGAGAGGTATTAGACATTAGATTTATGTGAGTTCCTTTTCCTCCTGGAATAAACTGAAAAAAGTCCTAACTAAAGCCAGAAGAGGAACGAGAATTTGGAGGCACTCTTGCTTCCCAGGTTAGGGCTTCTTCATCATGTGGTATGCCATGACATGGTATGGAGCAGTGTGCCTGGCCAAGCAGTGATCTTACTGTAGACCTCATGGCCTCCTCTGCACTGAAGAAACCCATTAGGGTTTTTAGGGTAATTTCTCAAGACCTGCAGCTTTGCTTAAAATTTGATCCTACCACGGCCAGCCTGGTGGTGCAAGCGGTTAAGTGTGCGCGCTCCGCTGCGGCGGCCCAGGGTTCCAGGGCCCGGATCCCGGGCGCGTACCCACACACTGCTTGTCAGGCCATGCTGTGGCAGCCTCCCATATGAAGTAGAGGAAGATGGGCATGGATGTTAGCTCAGGGTCAGTCTTCCTCAGCAAAAAAAAGGATGATTGGCATCAGATGTTAGCTCGGGGCTGATCTTCTTCACACACACACACAAAAAAATTGATCCTACCAAGGAGAAATGAGGACCAAAGACCCCATTAATCTTAGTCATCTCTGAGCAGCTTCTTCGAGAACACAGCTTGGCATTAGCACAGCTCCTTAGTACCAAGCTGAGAGTTAAAACTAGGACGCAAAACTAGTTCTGGCACTGGGGCCAGTTCTTTTCTTGAGCTATATGGAAGTCATCTCCTGTCCTGCCTTAGGCACTGAGCAAAAAACACAGAGTCAGTACTGTGGATTGGCAACCTGGAGAGGGCTTGTTTGACATAGTAGTATCTCTCCTTTCCTCTAGCCTGAGCAAACACACACACTTCCAGTAAAATCCTTAATGTTGGAGTTTCTTTCTGACAGGGAGAAAGTTATATTGGCTTGAAATTTTTCCAGAGTACCTCAGCCTTGCTAATGGAGGTGACTTGTGACTACAGCAGTGATACTGGGGAACAGTTGAAGAAACAAGTGGTAGAAAAGAGCTTCACACTCACTAAGCATTTTGTCAGGTGTTCATCTCAAAGCCTTCCACAGATCCACTGACCAGGAGCCTCACGAGAGCCCCTAGCTTCCCATCATTCAACCTACTTTTTCCCTATCACATCTGCAGACTCTACAGTGTGTCTCAGAGGGAGTTATACAGAAACTAGATGAGACAAGCAATATGAGAGGTTGCTGAAGACCACACTCAGACCTGCTAAACATAAGGAGAACCAAGGCTATCCATTGCTGTGGAAATCTGACCTCAGTCATTCCCGCTTCTTCCTTCTAGAAATGGTTCCCCATTTATATCCCAGATTCCAAAATAGCCATTTAGTAGTCTCTAATTATGGCTGCTTGAGTTCCTGTTGGCCATTTCTTCTCTGCTGACTGTGTTTACCCCTTGCCTAGCTCCAGAGCATGCATTGTCAGGCTCTTAAACTAATGAACAGGAAGCTCCCCCTATTCCCACCTTGGAAAAAGAAATGAGACTTTTCAGTGGCAAACTAGTAACCAATTGTAAGCCAGCTCTGTCCCAGGAGCCTCTGCATCTGAGGCTTTAAATACTTTCTTATTACTCTTTTTGGGGGAATGTTCCCCAAGGAGCAGGAATCATCCTAACTGCTGACTGGACAGCTCTGCCTAAGGCAGAGGGCAAGCTAGAAAGTTCTGGAAGGTCCCTTAATGCCCACCCACTGAGTGAATCCAGAGTTTGAGCCAAAAAACAAACTAATACTGTCTCTGCCATCTCTAGCCCACACCACAGAGGTGCTGTGGCTTTGGGCTTTTACTGCTCTCCAACTGGCTTTAACCTTCTAGAAGAATAGACATAAAGGAGACTCTGGAATGCCATAAAGTGCTAGAATTCCTTTTTTGCATTTCACTAAAGTTTTGGCATTTGGGAAGAATCTTTTTTAATGGCTTGTGCATTGATAGTTTCAGTCCTTGGAATGTCCTCTTCCCCATCCCCCATCCCTCCTAAGGTTGCTTGAGGACTCTTCTTTAGTTAGTGTTTTGTTTTATTTTGTTTAAATGGATGCTCACACACTTCCTGCTCACCTCATTCTTCCCTCCAGCTGCTCACTTCTGACTCTAGAGGACTGAATATTCCCTTGTTAGGACAGAGCTCCTGGGCAAGCCCTATGGCTTAGCGGTTAAGTGCGCGCGCTCCGCTACTGGTGGCCCGGGTTCGGATCCCGGGCGCGCATCGACGCACCACTTGTCCGGCCATGCTGAGGCGGCATCCCACATACAGCAACTAAAAGGATGTGCCACTATGACATACAACTATCTACTGGGGGGCTTTGGGGAGAAAAAGGGGGAAAAAAGGAGGAAGATTGACAATAGATGTTAGCTCAGGGCTGGTCTTCCTCACAAAAATAAATAAATAAATAAAAAGGACAGAGCTCCTTCCCATAGAGCCATCTCAGCTCAGAAAAGCAACTCGGCAATTCCATGTTTTCTCCAATCCTTTTTCCCCTTAATTGCTTTGTATGGCATTATGTTTAAATGTATAGATTCTGGAGTCAGGCAGACTTAGATTTGAATCTGCTACTTCGCAGTTGTGTGGTTTTGGGAAAATGGTTTAACTTCTCTTAATCTGTTACCTCATCTGCAAAATGTGGTTGTCATTTTTACTGCATCAGAGGTAAAAATGACACTCCCAGAATCATCTAGAAAGTTATTTTTTCTAATTACATACATAAGGCCCCCATCCCAGACTTACCACAAAGATTGATGGGAGCTAGGACATTGAGTGTGTTTTTGTTTGTTAGTTTTCACACTGTCTGGGTGATTTTTCCAATGAAGTGGCTAGATTTGTAAGCCGCTCCTGTAATGTACATAGAGTTTTTAGGACAGTACCTGGCATAGAGTAGGTATTCAATAAATGCTAGTGAAAATTTTCTCTTTTTTTCTTTTTTTTTTTTTGTGAGGAAGATCAGCCCTGAGCTAACATCTATTGCCAATCCTCCTCCTTTTTTTTTTTCCCCCTTTTCTCCCCAAAGTCCCAGTAGATAGTTGTACATCATAGTTGCACATCTCTCTAGTTGCTGTACGTGGGACGTGGCCTCAGCATGGCCAGACAAGCGGTGCGTCGGTGCGCACCTGGGATCCAAACCTGGGCCGCCAGTAGCGGAGCACGCGCACTTAACTGCTAAGCCATGGGGCCGCCCCGCTAGTGAAAATTTTCAAAAGGACCTCTTCTTCCCACCCACCGGTCTTCAGGAACCAGGAAGATGTTCTTTAAACACATTCAAATGCTAAGAGCCAGTGGTGCTGCTCTTGAGAGTGTGGCTTTAGGGTCTGGAGTAGTCTTTTATGTGGCATGGAACTGGTTTTAAAAACATCCTTTTTGGGCCTAGCCTGATGGCATAGTGGTTAAGTTCACATGCTCCACTTCAGCGGCCCAGGGTTCACAGGTTCTGATCCCAGGCGCAGACCTACACGCCACTCATCAAGCCATGCTGTGGCGAGGTCCCACATACAAAAAATAGAGGAAGGCTGGCACAGATTTTAGCTCGGCGACAATCTGCCTCAATCAAAAAGAGGAAGATTGGTAACAGATGTTAGCTCAGGGCCAGTCTTCCTCACCAAAAAAACAAAAAGGAAAATCCTTTTTTTTTCTAAATGAGTATGGTTCTGATTAACCAGAGTCTGTAGTGAGAACTGTGGGGCACCCATTGTTTCCATAGCTGATCTCCTAGGAAGATTCATGGAATCTGAGCCTCAAATGAGATTTGGTATATGTTCCCAGATGAGAGGCAGGAGTGATGAGTACCAGCATCAGTTTCCACCCCCGACCAAAGGAGGAGAGATTGAATGGAATTTAGACCTCTAGGTTTAGGATGCCTAAAGAACTGAAGTCAGAATGTCTGCTCTTTTCAGGTTCTGGGGGAAGATAATTATGAGTATATCCCAACTCTGGACTTCTCTAAAGCTGGGTCCGCCCTTGGCCCAGTTGAGCCATTGTGTCTTCTACTGATGACTTGAGGCATGTAGCCATTAACTGGACTGACCAGCTATACTTAGCCTAAGGAGGAGCCCCCAACCCGTGGTGGTGAGAATGGTGACGAGAGCGTAGGCACTCCCTAACTTGACTGTTGTGTTGCAGAAGCAACATCCAGGGCAGCGTCATCTGCAACAACGCTGTGATCGAGAAGGGAGCAGACATCAAGTACTGCCTAGTTGGAAGTGGCCAGAGGATTGAAGCCAAAGGTAAACTAGAACCTAAATTACAATCACGGATGCCATTTTTTACCTATCACAGTAGCACAGATAATGCTCAGTGCTGGTGAGGACTGGGGAAAAAGCACATGCATACACTGCAGGTGAGAACATAAATTGATAAAGCCATCTTTGGAGGGGGATTGACATTTTCAGATTTTTTAACTTTGACTTAACAGTTCCAATTTTAAGAATTTATATTACAGGTAAGCTCATATATGTATGCAGCCTTACTATCAAAAAAATTTTAAACATACTAAAAAGATCTAATGGCTCAGATTGACACCAATACTTTACGATGGCTCTTGAACATGAGAGAGAAGGGCCAGTAATCCAACAAAGGCTCTGGAACTAGCTCTGGCCTCCTGAAGTCCTTGAGCACCTCGTCTGACCTCATATTTAAGGGATATAGTCCCACAGATTCCTGGCCTGGAAGAAGGTTACCAGCTTCTTCAGAAGCCATTCACTCAGCCCTTCACAGCCGCTTAGAGGGGATGCTATGTTAGCTCGCTCTGCTCTGTAGCCTGCAGAAAGACTGCATAGTACTTGAAAGACATATAAACACCAGGGTCTCTGCTGGGCTGGCAAATTTGAATGGTCTATAATTTGGCTTAATATTTTTAACCAAAAAGTAGACAAAGCTCAAGATCAGTAAGAATGGCTAATTCCTTTTGAGATTATTCCTATACCTAAAACAGAGTGGGGCAGGGGACTTACTGAAGGAATTAACCCCACCAATTCTGAATTGGTAGAAGCCACCAATCATTTTCTTTCTCCCCAGCAAACAGAGGCCGTCTTCAGTTTTTTTCTCCTTCCCTTTTTTAAAGTCATATATCTCCTTTTTGAGCTTTAGAATCAACCAGACTTCGGTTCATATCTCAGCAACTCACTGGATGTGCACCAGGTTAAATTTTTAATCTCTAGGCTTCAGATTTTCGAAACTAGAAAAATTGAGACAATAATACCTGTCTTGGAGTACTATTGTGAGAGTTAAATATGATTAAATGTTATGAGGGGTACCCACAACATCTGGAGCTTGGAGCTTACCAAGGCACTTAGAGCTCCGTACACACCATGCTGTTGTACCTCTCCATGCCTTTGCACATGCCCTCTCTCCTTCTGGAATTCCTCTCTTGAAGACTCTGCCCAGTGTTTCTCCTCTGTAGAACCTTCCCTGACTCTTCCCATGACTCCCCACAGCCAAACTGAGCATTCCTCCTTCTTCTGCACCCCTGAACTTTGTCAACACCTTTATTAAAGTATGTTCACAAGTTGCAATTATCCATGAAGCTGCCTTCCCTCCTAGACTGAGAGCCTCAAGGCCAAGGACTGACTGATTCCTTATGTATCCCTAGCTCTCAGAAGAGGTCCTGGTTTATAGTAAATGCTGGGGGCAGCGGGTGTTGAAGGAATGAATTTTGGATCCAAAAGCATACTTTTGGAGATTTCAGGACAGAAAATTAGGATTCCAAGAAAGGCATCTGTGAGGTGGTTGCAATTTTCATGAGATCTCTCCTTGCTTTTTTTCCCTAAACTTAAGCTGATAGAAGAACTGCATGCAACACTGATAAATGAATGAACTGGGGGTGATGTGGCCTTGGTCTAAAACTATCCTTCACCCTTATTTCTCCACTGGAGACTGCATGCAACTCTCCTCACTGCCTTCTCACATTTCAAGTACTTTCTTCCTCTACATATGAGAAGTGTCATTTCTGAGAGGCCTTTCCTAGGTGTCACTAATTAACCAATAAGATTCTTTCTTATAAGCATCGTAAACTAACTATGGCTGATTTAAGCTGATAAGGAATTCATTGGAAAGATAGCAGGTAGCTCACAGCTCTACATTGGCTGCAGAATTTAGCTTAGAAAATGGGCTGCAGACAAGATTTACACCCAAACCATTCTGGTGAGGACACTACTGCCATCCTCACTAAACACTGGATATTACAACTTGCACTGCTGCTCCAGCCACCCAGCAATCCCAAAGTAGATTCTCTCTGGTTTCCACTTGTTTGTATCACTAGTTCCCAAGGTTTGAGGTGGCTATATCTGATAGATCAAGCCTGGGTCATATGCCCATGCCCTAGCTGCAAGGAAGGCTAGCATTTTTATCTGGCATTTTTTAGTTCAATTACTTGCAGACAGATTCCACTCAGTGTCTCACCAGAGAACCTTTGAGTGAGAGTGTTGGTCAGCAGTGGTGCCCTAACTATTGGCACTTTCTGCTGGGATCACATGCAAGCTGGGGGTATAAGCCTAGGTGAGAGGGCTGGAACATCAGCTTAAACTTCACATGGGAAGCATGGATGGCACTGCCCTCCTGGAATGCCCTTGGCTTACAGCTGTTGTTTATAGCTTTAAAATGTTCTTGCATACACTGTCTCATAAAAGCCCTCTGAGAGAGAGATTCATTATTGACCCATTTGGTGAAATGGAAACCGAGACTTTGAAAAGTTGAAATTTACCCAAGGTACATAGCTAGTAGATGACAAAACTGGGTCTTCAGCCTGAATTATTGTCAAACGGCCTCCAAAAAAGACCAGAGGAAAAAGCCACTCCTGGTTTGCCCAGTAGAATTTGAGCAGTGATACCACTTTTTTCCCTTTAGTCCAGCTTTCCCAGACCAATAGGAAAAATACATTTGGCCTCCATACCTTGGCTCTTTCTGATCCTCAGGAACCTCAGGTCTTAGCTCTTTCTCCTGATTAACATACCAGTTTACCCAAACCTACCCTTGGATTGCAAAGAAACTTGTTTCTTGAGCAGCTGGGACCTGCAGTAGTTTCTTTAAAATACGGTTCAGAACCCCCAGCCTTTTCTCTGACTCCATGGAAGGCCTTGGAAGGGGTCCCTGGAGTTTCAAAAACAGCTGCTCAGCTGGTCTGTGGAGCTGCCTTCTTATCCTGTCTCCTCTCCTGTCTCCTCATTGCATTTCTCTGTCCTTCTTTGTTCTCTTCTGTTTGGGTTCGTGGCCCCACACAGTATTTCTTCCACCTCCTTCCTGCCTCTTTGTCTTTATAAATTATCTCCTATTCAGCAAAAAGCAGGAAAGTCCTCCAGTGCTCTTCTTTCAGTCCCTCTTAGGGCCAGGAGCTGCTTCCTTTTGTTGTTTTTAAAAGGCTTTAGACTCCATAGGCATATTTGAATGAGTGAACTCCATTTGCTACCATCCTAGAGGGTCCCTCCTTTCTTGTGTGCTGGAACCTGGAACCTCACTGTTGCTGCTTCTGCTTCTCCCCATTTCCAACAAAATAACGGCGCTCCTTCCTTTTACTTTATGAGGACCCGTTTTCACTCTACGTGCAGAAGGCATGAATGACAACTGAATGCCAGGTATTGAGGGTTTGAGGCATGGCATCTCCCATCAGGGAGCACAGGACTGGGCTAGGCAAGCCCCTAGGATGTCATGGGCTTTGACATCTTCTGGGCTTTCTGTCTCTAACATTATGTGCCCACTTTTTATCACAGAGACTCCTTAATGGTCCTCCTAAAGGAGAGGTGGTCAAGGGAAGTGATCTGGACTCTAAACTGGAGAACCCCAACACGTCCTGCTCTCTATCCTCTATGCTAGAGGGACCGATGCATCCAGCACAGTAGTCAGTGCCTTCCTGCCACAGATACTCCTGGCCAGTCGCCTGCTCTCACTGTCACTTTTCTTTGAGGCTGAGCCATATGGAGAAAGCAAATTCCTAGCTATCAGTGCAGCACTCAAAACCTGTTACTGTGGATGACCCAGACAAACACCAGCAACTCAGGTCCTTACCAGCAAAGAGCTCAGCAGATGGCAAAGTCCCCAGTCAATCTTCCTCACATGGAGGGATTTCAGGAAAAAACATTCATCCTCAGAAGTAATGCTGTCCCCTCTCCAAATTCTAATTATTTGCATACCAGATTCACCACATCCATTGCAGTCTTCTGCCCCACAAAATGTGACTCTCATAACCCAGTGTGGGCCTCTCTGCCCTCTTCCAGCACTTCCAGGAGAACAAGCCACTTTCTGCAACTCTGGCTTTTCTCACCCCACCCCAGCATGCTCAGTTAGTGAGATTATCTCCAGCAAAAATCCTGGCAGCCAAGTCTGACTCCTGCTCAAGCCAATAGAAAGGCCACAGCCAACCAAGTCAAAACCTGGGGGACTCTAATTGGACACTTCATCTGAATCTCTTCTTATTGTCAATGAGAGAACTTGGATCTCTTCCCTGTGACCACAATGATCAGTCATTTGGCCATGAAGGTAGAGCTGACAGATACACAGATCAAGTCCTGGCTAGCAGGAATCGTTCCCAGCTTCCCAGCAGTGCAGCTTTTCATATCTGACTTGTCATTCCCTTTTATCCCATTGGTTTTTCCCCAACTTACTGTCCTCCCTTGTACTCTCCCCTTTAGAATCTTTCCCAACCTGATTCCAGCCCAGAACTTTTCCAGTGTGTTGATTGGAGCCTGCTTCCAACTCTGGCCAAGCAGAACTAGTACTGCTTGTGGCTCCTCTCCAGGCTTCCTCCACCTTACTGAATCTCCATGAAAATACATCTACCCACAAAACACCAGATATAGTCTCTCTCCCCTGAATCCTGGTGAGCAAGCCTTCTCCCACCCCTAGACCAAGAACAGACCAGAGGGAAGAGGGGAGAGGAGGGAGGGCAGGCCAGAGAATGCTCAGGTATTTATTTAGAGCCTGGCAGAGCAGAAGAAAAGCATTGTCTGCCCCAGTCCAGCACCTCATTCACCCCTCTGGTCTGGAGCACTGAGGTCTAAGAAGACCTCAATTGGAACGGGGACTGTTGTCAGAACAGCCCACTGTCCCTGGAAACTAGGAGGAGACTGGATGGAAAAAGAGCAAATATCAGAATCTGGATGTGAGATAATGAGGCTAACTCATGGCTGGAGAGGGATGAAGGGTAAAGAGGAGCTTTTGGAGGTGCCCTGGGAAGCTAGCCGGAGAAGCATTTCTTTTGTTCTTTTCTGGTCAGTCTTATCTCAAGGGTGGAGCTTGATTGACGGTCACACTCCAGAACCAGCCCCAGCTCTAGGGAATTTAGCAGCCTGAGCACTATCTGGGCCTCCTTCCCTTCCTCTCACTGAAGGAAGCAGGTGGCTATGAAGTATAAAAAGGAGCACTTCTTAGGGCAGAGTACACAGGGCAGACCCAGCCTCATTCTGTAACTTCTGGTTAATACTTATCCAAGCACTATGCTGGGTTCTTTACGTCAATTATCTTATTGAATCCCCACAACTTTGTGAGGAAACTAAATCCCAAAGTCTTGAAATAATTTGCTCCAAGTCAAATTAGAATTCAAGTCTTTATGACTCAGAATCTCTTTCCTTTCCTGCACTGTCTCCTTTTCTTCCTCCCTTTCCTATCCTTTTCTTCTCACATGTGATTGCTTCTGTCCAATATGGTGCCATAACAGCAAACTTTGTGAAAGGCCTAGACCTAGGTTTCTCTTCCTACTGCAGAAAGTTAGAGAAATAGGCCTGGATCCCTTGCTGTAATGCACCAGATGTGTCACTTATATTCTCTTTGACAAGGAGATTGGAGGCCTTCTCTTCTATACATGCTTCTTTTCCTACATATGTACTCCCAAAACACATACACGTTCAACAAACAGTTGCCGCCTACTATATTCTAGGCTCTGATTGGCTAGGGGTGTAAAGATAAATAACACTTTCTTCTTGCTGTCCAGCTGCTCAGTCTATTATAGAGAGACAGACGAGTAAAGAAGTAAGTACAGTCAAGTTTCACAGGTATTATGGTAGAAGACTGTCAGGGTTAATTAAGGACATAAAAGAGACATTGGTCAGTTCTTGGCACAAGGATCAGGAACACCATCTTAAAGGAAGGAGTTAAAGCTAAGTCCTGAAATTTTTGCCTATTTTCCAAATATACAAAAGGGAAGAACCTCTCAAGCAAAGAAACCAGGTAAAAAGCACCTGAAGGCCAAAATCAATCCGATGTGTTGGAAACTGCAAATCATTTGGAAAATCTAGAATATAGGGTACAAGGGAGATACCAAGAAACAAAGCTGGAAAAGTGGGTAGAACAGAAGACATGTCTGAAATCTCAAGGTCTCCAAAGATTCAGTTGGAAACCCCCCTTCTACTGGCAGAGCAGAAGGAGGCTCCAGGCTATGGGCACTATGAACAGACCCAAACATCTCTCACTGTCCAACTTGGTCGCATCATCAAAGATCTTTATTTTGCTGCACCAAAGCCTTGTGAGGCTGAAGTAGAGCCTCAGGAAAGCCGAAGTTTCTGCCTCACCTATCAGGGACACACTCAAGCCACCAAGTGTGGCAAGAAAGGCATTGGACCTTTATAGACCATGGGAAGCTGGCCCAGAAAGAATCCATTTTCAGCCAGCTGGTTAGCCTTTTCTGTCTGAACCAGCAGAAGAAAAGAAAACTTGCCTATCTCCCCCATACCTCCAGGCAGGAAGGAGAGAGCATGCCCCTGGTTCCCCCTATCCCTTACAGACCACTGATTCACTGCCTCCTTTCTGTAGCTCTTATTCCCTGAAAGCAAACTCTCTTCTCACATTTCCCCCCATGATTGGTCAACTTCCAGGGCACTCCCCTAAATATATTGAGGGTTCACAGTCTTCCTCTTCCCTCCCTCTCTTTTTTCAGACATCTTGGACAACTTAAACATATCCATCAATGAACCATCTGACCCCTCAGCTTCACAATTCCCCAAATTTCTCTACTCTACCAACTTTCACCTCCTTTCAACTTTAGCTCTCCACTTATATAACCATATCCTATCCTTGTCATTACCCAAAACCTCTGACATCTTTCATGTGCCAGTAACTGTGCTAGACACTGGGGTATGATCATAAATACACTGCCCCTGCACTCGAGATTCTTAGAGTGAAGTAGAGGAGAATGATATAATGATGTAGCGATAGAGATAGGTATTAGGTAGTGTTTTCACAAAGCAGAAAATGGACAATTCAGAAGGGAAGGCATCACATAGTGGAGGTGCTGGAGTAGGGCATTTAGGGTACGAGAGAGATGGGGAGGGAAAGAAAGGCATTCTAGGCAGAGGGAACAGCATGCGCTGAGGTCTAGAGCTATAAAATAGCCTGGCTTATAGGTATAAATGGAGAATGGTGAAGATGAAACTGGAGAGGTATGCAAGGGTCAGGTCATGGAGTCCAAACCCAGGCCTTATGGGTTTGGACTTTACAAAAATAATAATAGCCACTATTTATCGAGCACTCAATGATTTTTTAATTCATTGACTCCTCACAACCCTGGTGGTATTAATAGGTGGTATTATTTCCATATTACATATGAGGGATCTCTCTTTCTCCTTTAGATATCTCTATTTATTCTTTTAGTCTCATTTCTTCTCACTCTTCTTCCCCCGTTCCCTATCCTCTAGCCCTATCACAATATTCCGTGTTCTCCTTTCTTACGTCTGTATGTCTTTGCTCATGGTGTTCTAACAGCCTAGAATGCCTTCCCTTTGATTTACTGCCTGAAAAAACTCTATTCATCCTTTTTTTTTTTTTAATTTTATTTATTTATTTATTTCCCCCCAAAGCCCCAGTAGATAGTTGTATGT